TACACACACACACACACAAAACCAAGAGCCAACATCATTCCCAATAGAGAGAGACTCATGACATTTTCCCCTTGTGAACAGAGACCAAACAAGGATATACCCATCACCATTCTTATCCAGTTTTGGAAGTCCTTGCTAGAGCAATTAGGTAAGATAAGGAAATAAGAGGCATCCAAATTGGCAAAGAGTTGAAACTTCCGTTATGTGTAGTTGATAAGGTAGTATGTGTAAGAAATCCTAAAGACTCAACAACAACAACAAAGTAACTATTAAATCTAGTAGACCAGGGAGCTGTGGTGGCCTAGTGGCAAGAAGCTGTGCTGCAATCCCAGAGGTGCACGGTTCGAATCCACCAGATACTCTGCTGGAGAAGGAGGAGCAATCTCCTCCTGTACCAGTCAGATCTGATTTGATGGTACACATACCAAAAAAAAAAAAATAAAATAAAAAAAATCTAGTAGACCAGTTTAGTAGAATTGGCAGAATATAAGATCAAAATGCAAAAATTAGTTTGATTTTTTTTTTTAAAGCAACAAAGAAAACACTACAAGTAAACAGGAAAAGCAATACCATTCGCATTAGCCAACGAGAAAACCTACTTAGGAATAAATCTAACTAGAGACCCAAAAGATCTGTTGTTGTTGTTGTTGTTAATGTGCTGTTGCGTCGTTTGCGACTCATAGCGACCCTGTGTACAACAGCCCTAAGCTCTGCTCTGTCCTGTGCCAGTCGCACTGTCTCTGACACTCCCATCCAGATTATCCCAGTCACTGAATCAATCCACCCCGTAGAGGGCCTTTCCCTCCTGCGCTTTCCCTCCACCCTCCCAAGCATGATGTCCCTCTCAAAGAACCCGTCCCTCCTTACAACATGTCCAGAGTCTGTTAGATGGAGCCTCAGAATCCTTGCCTCCAAGGAGCCACCTGGTTTAACCCTTTCCAGGATGAATCTGTTTGTTTTCCTAGCAGTTCATGGAACTCTCAATATTCTTCTCCAGCACCACAGCTCAAAGGCATAAATTCTCCTATCCTCCTTGGTCATTGTCCAACTCTCTGATGTATAACAAGTGATTGCGAAGACCATGGCCTGTATCAGACACACCTTAGTCTCCAGAGAGACACCATTGCTCTTCAGTACTTTGGAGAGGTCCCTAACAGCAGACTTTCCCATGGCAATACGTCTTTTAATTTCCTGGCTACTGGTTCTGAGAGTGTTGACTGTGGAGCCAAGCAAATAAAGCTGTGAACAATCTCAGTCTCTTCACCATCCATCCTGATGCTGCCAATTGGTCCAGTGGTGAGAATCTTTGTCTTTGTCTTCTTGACATTGAGCCTCAATCCATATTGTAGGCTGCAGTCCTTGACCCTCTGAAGCAGGCGCTTCAGGTTCTCCTCAGTTTCAGCAAGCAGGGTTGTGTCATCTGCGTAATGCAGATTATTGATAGATCTTCCACCAGTCTTGACCCCACATTTCTCCTCGTAAAGCCTAGCCTCCCGGATAATCTGTTCTGCATACTGGTTGAAAAGGTATGGAGATAGGATGCATCATTAGCGTACGCCCTTCCCAATTTTGAACCATGCAGTGTTCCCTTGCTCTGTTCTGACAACTGCCTCCTGGCCCAAGTATAGGTTTCGCATTAGAATGATCAAGTGTTCTGGGATTCCCATTCTTCTCAGAGTCAGCCACAGTTTGTTATGATCCACACAGTCAAACACCTTTGCATAGTCAATGAAACACAGATAGACATTTCTCTGGTATTCTCTGCTTTCAGCTAAGATCCATCTAACATCAGCTACAATATCCCTAGTACCATGACCCCTTCTAAACCCAGCCTGGACTTCTGGCAGTTCTCTGCTGATGTGCTGTTCCAGTCGTTTTTGGATAATCTTCAGTAGAATCTTGTTTACATGTGAAATCAATGAGATTGTTGTATAGTTTCCACACTCTGTTGGGTCACCTTTCTTTGGGATAGGAACAAATATAGATCTCTTCCAGTCAGTTGGCCAAGTGGTTGTTTTCCAGATTTCTTGGCACAACTTGGTGAGCACGTCCAGGGCAGCATCTGTTAGCTGAAATATGTCAATTGATATACCATCTACTCCTGGGGCCTTCTTTTTTGTCATTTTCTTCAAAGCAGCCTGAACTACTTTCATCACCATAGGCTCTTGCTCATATGTTGTTTCATGAATTTCTCCTGTGTCTATCAATTCCTTTCCATACAGTGATTCAGTATATTCTTTCCATCTTCTTTTAATACTTCCTGGATCATTTAACATTCTGCCGAAAGCATCCTTGATTATAGCAACTCCCCAAAAGATCTACATAAGGAAAATTATAAAACACTGAGTAAGAAAGAGTAAGAAACCTAATTAATTGAGAAAATTATTTGCTGTATGTAGCTAGGAAGACTTACCATTGTCATTGTGAAAACACAATCCAAAGCAATTAACAGCTTCAGTAAAGTCCCAGTACAGTAGGAGATTAAATTAGATGGATGATCAAAATAGAATTTAGGAAAATATTACTTAGAAACTCTAGCTTGGAACATTTAGTTTAAAATGAGAGCCTGATGATCTGTTACTATTGAACCCCACTCTTAGCATATTTAGCTATGTTTGTTAACATAGCCTCATTAGAGAAGCGTACTGAGATTCATGTTCTTGCTGGCAGGCAGTGACTTCCAAAGAAGGAGGAGCACAGAACAAATCCAAGCATTTTTTTTTTCTTTTCAGATTTGCCACTAGTGAGAGTGCAGGATACTTACGTATGAGAGAAATAGGAGAAGGAGGGAGCACAATTCATTGATTCCAAAATATCCATTATTTGAAAGGATTTAAGAAATAGGTAGTGCAGATATTTAGCAGAGTGTTTGAAAATGTCCCAGGCAAAAACTTCTCTTAGATTCTTTCTCTATTGGGTAGATGTGCTTTGCTTTAGATTACAAACTGCTGAGAAATGTCTGAGGCATCTTTCTCTCAGGGGAACTTAAGTACAAGTTTACCAAAATAAGTTACTTTAGGCTAGTCATTTTGTTAAAGTCAGGCTGTCTAACTAATAAAACAGCAAAGAAAGCATGTATTTATCCAGTATTGAACAAAGGAGATAAGCTTGTCCTGTGGCCAGGGTAGTTTTGAACTTTAAACACAATAGAAATCACTTCCTAGCACATTATATTCCTGACTTGTCTTGTAAGCCATGGTGATAAGCACAGTGCTGCTCCAGTTCTACTGCAAGAAAACCTTCGTACATGAGATTGCATTCCTGAGCTCCCTTTGCATGGAAGGAAGAGTAAAGAATCACTAATAATTCACATTACACAGCTGGTATTTAATGTTGTATTTGTAATTAGGTTAAGGTATTTAATGCCTCTTGTTTATATAGATCTTTTAGATTTAGAAAAGAGAATTATTTCTTCTTCAGAAATGTGATGTACTGGCAGATCCTAATTTATACTTTTCTTGCAAGATGCATCAGATTTATGGACATTACTTATTTGTGTTAAGTTTTTTTTTGCAGTGATGTTTAATGACCATTAGAATAAATGTCCAGTTGAATATTATTTCAGACTAAGTAACACATACTATTTTAGAATCAAGTCTATTGGTGAGCTTTTAGTTTTAAGCTTGTCCATTCTTTAAATATTATTTGTTGTATGTTGTTTGTTGCTGAAGGCTCTCTGCGTTTTGAATGCAAGATGACCAAGTGGGAGACTAGAATTTTTTCTTTTCACAAATGAAGTATTTATTAAAATAGGAAAATAAAAGCTTCGTGAAGGGAGACATGGAATGCCAGGAAAAGAACCCATACCATGGCTCCCTGAGTAGAACAAACTGAGATTTTTTATTTCAGGGTAGAAAGGGATTTAGGTGAGCTGAGGCTTCATTCTTATGTGGGGAATTCTAAGAGATGGGTTCATATAGGTGGAGTTATGATAACTGCACACACATCTAGTTCTTCATGATGGAATCTGCTGCAGAGACTTCTGGGTTATGAGACATTACTAGTTATGGGATGAAAATTTGTGCTGCAACAGTGTCCTCCCGTTCAAATTCTTCCCCCATTACTTAGTCTATTCAAAGTAGGTCAGTACTCTGCTGTGAGCAATATTTCTATGTATGCTCCAGAAAATTGGTTGATATTTCTTAAGGCAAGACAGGTTACTTAAATACATAATTTGATTAGAAATGTTGAAAAGACCATTCATGAGAATGTGAGTTCAGCACCTGCTGGGGGTGGAGGGGGAAGGAGAGAGAGACAGACAGAAACACCCTTCTGTTGTCTATCTTGTATTCTATGTAACCCTTTTGGAAGATAGCGCTTGGGCTCTGTCCTACCTCTAGTTTACCAGCTGGAAGCTTGTTGTTGTTGTGTTGTTGATTTTTGGTTTTTGTTTTTTTTTTAATTTTTTAATTTATTTCATCTAGGAATAATTTTATGTGAATTATGTCCTAAATTTTATATAGGGGAAATAATTCTAAATGGGGTATTTTATTCCTGTTTCAGAGATCTTTTACCCAAAGATTTTGTTGTTTATACCTACAACGAGGAAGGAACTTTGATCTCTGACCATCCTGATACACAGGTAATATATTTTTTCTTGATCCTGTAGCAAGATTTTAAACAACTATGTTTAAAAATAGAGGAGTTCTGGTGGCCTAGTGGTAACAAGCTGCATTTCAATCCCAAAGGCATGCAGTTCAAATCCATTAACTGTTCTGAAGGAGAAGGCTGGGCAATCTCCTCTCATGCTATGCCTCTGAAAACCTGCTGGATGGTCAGCTCTGAGTTGTTTCTGACTTGATAGTACACAAGAACAGTGACAACAATGTTTAAAATTAGTCCTGTTATCAGCAAAAAGAAGAAAGAACCTGAGTTAGCTGGATTGGCCTAGAGGCTTGAATCACAGATTCAAATATATCAGTGATTGGAGAATGGTGCACGACTGGGCAGTGTTTCATTCTGTTGTTTATAGGGTCACTATGTTGAGGGAGCAGACGAGAGGGAGACCTCAGAAGAGATGGATTGATACAGTAACTGGGGTAATGAGGGTTGGTGTGTTGGAATTAGTGAGACTGGCTCAGGACAGGGAGGGGTTCAGAGCTGCTTCACATAGGGTTGCTATACATCACAGGCAACTCAATGGCACATAAAAACAATAACATACTATGACAGGTTTGGAAGCAGGAGTGACATCCACTTCCTAAATAACCTGCCTCCGGAAACTCTTTGAACTTTGATAAAAGCCGATAGTTGTAGAGGAGTTTCAGACCTTTTGTTCATAGGATCACTATGAGTCTTGCTCGACTCGAAGGCAATCAACAACAACAACATGTTGAGGGAACCAACTCAACAGCACCCAACAGACAACATATCTTAGAGCAACAGGGACAAAGTTTTGAAAACAGCAGTAACCAAACACTTTGAGGGAATGAGTTACTTTCCTGGAATTCAGAATCATTGCCATGAGGGACATCAAAGTCAACTGACATAGCACAATTCATAAAGACAGTGTTCTACATCCTGCTTTGGCGAGTAACAACTGGGGTCTTAAAAGATTGCAAGTAATCATCTACGGTAAAACTATTGGAACATTCTTATCTGTAGCAAAGAAAGATGAAGAAAATTAAGGCTTAGTCCGAATGACTGTGAGCTTCAGTCTCCATGACTCTTACAACACAAGAACTAGATGGGGCTCAGCCACCACTGCCGACCTTTCTGAAAGCATTCACAGTAGAAGGTCCCTGGTGGGGTTGGATTAAAATGTCGGAAAAAAAGTAAAAATAATAAAAGAATATGTAATATACAAGACTATAACCCTTGGCTACTTTTCTAGTCTAAAACTGAATTCAACCCCCTTTTTCAGCTTTTGATCAAATACTAGACAGGTGGTCCTTAAAACCTGAGAGGCACACATTCCTTAGAACGTCAAGGAGAGGCATTTTAGAAGATCAAAAGAGCATAAAGGAATGAGGCTTAGAAGGCAGGAAGGAATAGGAAAGAAGAGCAAATGGAAAAAGGAAACAACAGGAAGGAAGTGGGAAGGGTGCTGTTATCACATTGTGTGGATCACAATCAATGTTATAAACAAAGTGTGTATGACTTGTTGAATGGAAAACCAGTTGGCTGTGTAAACTTTCACTTGGATCAAATAGAAATGATTAAAATGGCAAACATGTAAAATGTGGAGGGAAAAAAAATTGGTTCTGTTAAGGTACTAAAGATTGTCACATTGATCAACTTGAGAGAGCACCATTTATTTATTTTATTTTTTTTTTTTTACAGATATGTGGAAATGGTTTTAATATGTTAAAATATTCTTTAATGAGTTAGTAATTATTTATACAATGGAGAGTTTAGAAAACAGATTTATAATTGTCTTGCTCTTGATTAGAGAGATTTAAAAATTACACAGAAAACATTATTTGCTAGAGTAAGTTACAAAAGGTTGAAGAAGTTGTGAAGGTTGAAGAGCTCCTGCTTTTCTGGCAGCTCTGATCCAATCTCAAGACTTAGTACAAAGATGGCTATGCTTTCTCTTTTGAATTTAAATCTACAACAGTTCGAATGCTCTTTCCGGCATGCAGAAGTTCAAATGCTTCATTAATTTGGTTAAAAGATAGATTGTGAGTCACAAATTCATCAACTTTGATCTTTTTAGACATATATTCAGACACCAGCTTTGGGACACTTTCTACACTCTTCCACCCTCCAAAGGCAGTGCCTTTCCATGTGCGACCTTTTACCAGCTGGAATGGACGAGTAGAGATTTCTTCACCAGAGGCAGCTACTCCAACCACCACGCTGACGCCCCAGCCTTTGTGGCACGCTTCCAGTGCTGCTCTCATAACCTTCACATTACCAGTGCACTCAAAGGAGTAGTCCACCCCTCCATCTGTCATCTCAACGAGCACCTCCTGGATGGGCTTGTTGAAGTCCTGTGGGCTAATGCATTCGGAGGCTCCAAACTCTTTGGCCCTTGCAAATTTATCTTTATTGATATCGATGCCAATGATCCGGGAGGCACCAGCTACCTTACAGCCCATGATAACTGCCAATCCAACTCCTCCCAGGCCAAAGATGGCACAAGTAGAGCCAGGCTCCACCTTGGCAGTGTTTACCACGGCACCATAACCAGTTGAAATGCCACAGCCCAGCAGGCAGACTTTATCCAGGGGTGTTAAAGGATCTATTTTAGCAACAGAGATATCAGCTACAACCGTGTATTCAGAAAAAGTGCTGGTTCCCATGTAATGTAAAATGGTCTTTCCTTTGCAAGTGAATCTGCTAGTACCATCTGGCATCAGTCCTTTCCTTTGAGTGACTCTTATCTTCTGGCAAAGGTTTGTCTTAGGATTCAGGCAAAATTTGCATTCTCCACACTGTGGGATGTAAAGTGGAATGACAGTATCACCTGCTTTTAGTTTTGTAACTCCTTCACCAACACTCTCTACAATTCCAGCTCCTTCATGTCCCAAGATCACTGGAAAACATCCTTCAGGGTCAGCCCTGCTCAAGGTATAGGCATCAGTATGGCAAACTGCAGTGGCAATAATCTTTATGCGAACTTCATGTGCCTTTGGGGGTGCCACCTCTATCTCCTCAATAGAGAGGGGCTTTCCTGCTTCCCATGCTACCGCAGCTTTACATTTGATAACCTGGTTCGCCATGTCCACCAGCTCAGGTCAGAGAATAGGTCAGCGTGCTGCAGGCGCTCTAGGTGGGCTGCAAGGGGGCGGGGCATGGGCGAGCACCATTTATTTTATACCTGTCCTAGGGAATTGGTCCGAGGGGATTTTACTAGGAGATTGGTAAGTGCATTTAGATGGTATAGTCTGTAGAGAGGGAACTTTGATGGTCTAGTTGGTAGGAAGTTGTGCTGCCAACCTGAAGACACATGACTTGAATCCATCAACTATTCTAAAAGAGAAAGATGGGCAATCTTTTCCCATGTGATTTACAGCCTCTGAAAACCCATCAAGCAGTCAGTTGACAGTTGAGTTCATAGGGAGTTGCACCAGCAACCCAAAGGCCTCATCTCTCTGGTGATTTGAATCCACAAGTAGTTTATTGAGAGAAAAATAGACAGTTTCCTGTGTACTTTACAGTCCCGGAAACCCAGTGGATGGGCAGCTATGAGTTGGTTATTACTTGATGGCAATGAAGGGGTTTCTTTTGCATTTAAACTGCAGCTTATAGCTTTCCAGGTCAGTGGTTGCATGTTTGTTTGTTTAAAGATGAAGAAAAGTAATCTTGTATTGATAATAATTTTTACCAGTTTTGAAAGACATTATTTGAGCTATTTTGAAAATAGTAATTTTTAATTTTTATGTCTGAAGTTAATACTATCTTTGAAACTGCATCTTACTTATTAAACATTTGATTTTCCATTAATATTTAATAAAGACCAAACACTTTTTGCTGTCGTATGTTCTAATTTTTAGCTGAAAAACAAGTCTTTCTTAAAAAGGTGTGGTTCTTTCTGCGTCAGAGGAGAGCGTACTCCTGGGGACAGAGCTGGCCAGGACTGGAAATAATAGGAGATGTCAAACTTGGCTTTATATGTTGTTTAGATGGAGAAAAGGCATCTTTAGTTTTGTTCACAAAGACTTGTATTGGTTTTCGTCTGTCTTTTTTTTTTTTTTGGTAGGCTTAGTTCAAGACTCTTATAGACCTTTCTGGCAGTTCAGAACTACATTTTTTTAATACTTAAATAGCTTTTATAAGAAATCTTTGTTTCTGCTTAACATTTCTTGCTACATTGAATTATGTTAGTTTTGCACTTTTAAATATTCTTCAAATAAATGTGAGGCAAACCCCCATATTTAAGATTAACTATTAATACCTTTTTGTAAAATAAGCAAGTGTTGCCTTATTCCTATCTTTTTTTGGTTTACTTTCTGAGTGTCTGTTTGTCTAATGTTTAATAGGAAATAATAGAAGAGTATAATTTACATTATAGGGAGCTCTGGTGGCCTGGTGGCAAGAAGCTGTGCTGCAAATCCAAGGCACACGGTTTGAGTGCACCAGCTGCTCCGTGGGAGGATTCTTGTGTAATTAACTGCCTCTCAAAACCCTCCTGAGGCACTTCACCGAAGATGACATTCAGATGGCTAACAAACACATGAAGAAATGCTCAAAATCCCTAGCCCTAAGAGAGATGCAAATTAAAACAACTATGAGATATCATTTC